TGTGCAGGGTGCAGAGCCTCTGAGCCCTCAGCCCAGGCGGGAGGGGAGAAGGGAAGGAGGCTGGGTCTGGGACAGGTAATCTTCCAACAGAGCCTCCACTCTCTTTAACAAAAGGGGGACAGTCCCCTTTTGTCTGGGGCTCCTGAGGGGCGTGTCCAGGGCCTAGAGCCACCACCAGTGGCATGGAGGAGGAGGAGGCTGCAGCGGTGGGGGCACACCAAGTGTTGTTTTTGGGTTTTTTTTTAAGATTTTATTTATTTATTTGGCAGACAGAGACACAGCGAGAGAGGGAACACAAGCAGGGGGAGTGGGAGAGGGAGAAGCAGGCCTCCCGCCACCGAGCAAGGAGCCCGATGTGGGCTCGATCTCAGGACCCTGGGATCATGACCTGAGCCGAAGGCAGATGGTTAACGACTGAGCCACCCAGGCGGCCCCCACCGAGTGTTTCTAATGGAACCTGAGTGATTCCTTTCTGCGTGTGCCCACAGAAGAGAGAGACCTTCTCCCCTCCCTCTCCAAGCCTTAGGAATAGCCTGGCCTCAGGCCGCTCTTCCAGAAGACTCCCCCACACACCCCAGACAGCGGCCCCTGTGGGAACAGGGTGAGGGGAGAGTGCTCCCTGGGAATCCATTTCTGCCCACCTTCAAGGTTACAACAACTGGCAGGAGAAGGACAATTGACGATTGTTCTCCTTCCGTGTTACTCTCCTGGGAAGGGCCTGTTGCTCCTCCCGTTAAGGGAGCATTGAGGGGGCGCACTGGGCTCTGTGTGGATCCCTGAGGCTCTATTGAGAAACTCCACCGGCCCTCCTGGGCCACTTCTCCGTCCAATCGCTCTGCCCCTCCCTCGACCTTTGACCCCTCCCCCCATCCTGCAGTGAATCCCGGATCTTGCCCCGTGCGCTGGACTTCCACGTGGATCCTCTCACCGGCCACCTCCCTACCACCTACCCGGTTGCACCACCGGTTTCGGAATCAACCCATGTTTAGCGCAACTCTTCCACCCGGCACTGTGGTCTGTGAGACGGAATATGCCAGAATTCTCCAGGAGGCCCATGTTGGCCATTTTCTGTTCGGTGTCTAATATTTAGTATAAATCAAACTGCCAGGAAGACACCCAAGTGCCAAATATAAACTCACTTCTGGTTTTTACCATCTCCTCTTGACTCTAGAAAGTAAGATTGCTCCTCTCAAGGTGGAGAGGCAGGGTTTGGTATCTTATGTCACTCAGTTAACATCTTTGGCTAATTGGACTGAAGCTGGTTATTAACATGATGTTAATTATTGAACGCTACTCTGAGAGGCCTGTCTGCAATGACACCTGCCTCCTGCTTGCTCACCTCTGTTTCTCTTGGGGGTCAGCTGTGAGCTCACCTCAGACCATTCAGGACCTGGGCTGGGGTCCCAGGTGCTGGCCGGCACCTTCCCATTGTCAGGCTTCAGCGCCAGCCCAGGGCTGCATGTTTTGTCCTGGCACACCCCAGGCACTCTTCTGGGAACTCTTCTGCCAGCATGAAGGCCACCGAGCACAGGGTTTCAGACGGGGAAGAAAGCAGGACGAGTGAGCAGTGACCCTTTTCCCCCCATGCCAGCTGAGGGCTGAGCCTCGCCTGGGGAGAGGGCAGATGTAGGGACAGTTCCGAGCGGGATCAGCCTCTCCCTGTCTGTTTGAGGTCTCTGCCCTTCTTTTAATAACTGTCTCCTCCTTACAGCTTCTCCAAGGCCTAAGGCAGGCTAGGCTGCTCAGTAAGCCCCTTGCAGAGAGAACCCGTGGGGATTGCACTCACCCCAGGCCTCCCTCTCCTGAGCTCACCCTCCCACCTGGCTGGGAGGGAGGCCTCTTCCCTATGACTCGGTTTCCCCAAAGTTGTCCCGCTTTTCCTGCTAGAGCCCTTTCCTTTCCGTTTTTTTGTTTCCTGTCTTTGATTTCTCCCTTTTATATCGGTTTCTTTTTGTACGCTCTTGCACCTTGCTCCTCCGTAGGGGTTCGGGCCCTTTAGTCTGAATTGAATTGGGGGGTAGGTGAGTGTTGTCCCTCCTCCAACCAAGAAACACTTAAACACAGATCAAGTGGAGAGGGCAAAGCTGGAGAAAGCAAAGAATGAAGTGTCTGGGGGTTGGGGGGAGGCCTCGTAAGACTCAGTGACTGTTCGGAAGTAGTGTCCATCTTCCTGCCTTTGTCACTTCTCCCTGGGATTGGCTGTTGTGTTTGTGGCTGCATGTAGTGCTTGTCAGCGGAGTGCTGTGACAGGAGGCTATTTTAATAAACTGTTGCAGTTTCTCGAGCCGAGCTGCATTGCGTTGGCATCCCTCGTCACCGCTAATGGAGCTTGCGTGGCTGGGTGTGGGCTGAGGGAGGCGGTCGAGCTCGCTGGGGGCCTGGGGGTGGGGGTGCGCCTCGTCTGGGAGTGCTCCCGCCAGTGGCAGCCGGGCCTGGGGAGGAAGGGGTGGCCGCACCCTGGGCGCCAGGTCCCTGCCCTGGAAGTGCTGCTGGCATCGACACTTTCCGAGCTCTCTTTCTTCTCTTTCTATTCATAGCATCGCAGGCTCGTGTGTATGGCCAGGGAGGAAAACTTCCACTCGCCCCTGTGCGCTCCATAAATAAAAAAAGAAATAGAACCAGAGAGAGAGTGTGAGGGCCTGAGAGAAAGAGACTGAAACCAAAACACAGAGAAGGCGCAGCTGCTCTCCCCAAGGCCTTCTGGGGCGCCCGCCCGAGCCAGGCCTTTATTTATTTCTTTTTCTGGCTTAAAAAAAAAGAGAAAAAAAAATCTGTGTCTTCCTCAATCCTAGTCCCCCCAGCTCTACACCCCCCGCTCCAAATTTGCTGGCTGGCTGCTGCCAAATGGACCCGAGTGGGAGCCTGGAATGAAAAATTCATAACTGCTGGACTTTGCTTGTTCATTAGACGTGAACTTGTCGATTGGGCAAATTGTTTTTGGTCTCCAACTGCCGGGGGCTCTCCCCACCCTCCCGGCTCGCCCGGTTCCCTCCTCCCCTTGGACACAGCCATTGGCTGCTCGAGGATGTCTCATTGCCAAATAGGTGGATCCTTCTCTCTCTCTCTCCCTCTTCCTTCCCCCCCCCCTTTTACTGGCTTTGGCACAGGCAAATGGATGGGGATTGAGCATGAAAGGGGAGAGAGAGGGAGTTTGAGAGAGAAAAGCAAAAAAAAAAAAAAAAAATCCAAAACCCAACCAGCGCTCTCTCTCTCTCTCTCTCTCTCTCTCTCTCACACACACACACACACACACACACACACAGAGCACCATCCCATCCACGTCCTCCCTCGCTCTCTCCCTCTCTCTCTTCTTTCCTCCCTCCCTCCCTTACTCCCTCTCTCTCTTTTGCACGCGTCTGCCAGCGACGGTCTGCAGCCGGTCCGAACTCGTCTTCTTCCCCGGGAATCTGCGAGCTCCCCCTTTGCCTGCGATCAGGCTCAGAGGCGGAGGGAGGCAGCGCGAAGTTTACACCCCTGTGCCGCTGCCAAAGCCGAAAGCCTTTTTCTTCAGCTGCCGCTTTCCCCCTCCTGGTTTTTGTTTTTGTTTTGTTTTGCACGGG